CATGGAAGGTAAATCATTAACCGAAATCTTGTTAACCGAGGCGCTCGTTAACCGAGGGATCACTGTACATGTGCACTCCGGCTTTGCACTAAGGTCATTTATTTCTTTACGTTTCTTTTAATATGGTGTGTGCTTAAACAGCATTTTCTGATGGGGTGCGTTTATACCAGTTTTGACGCATGCCATTCGGATTAAAAACAGCACCGTCGTCATTTCAACGTACCATTAATTTCATATTGTCTCTCGTCCTCGGTAAACACTCACTACCGTACCGAGATGATGTTGATATTCTAATTCATTTGGGGGTCACTTACACCACCTAAAGGAGTGGCTGACATTACTAGATAAGGCGGGATTTAAATTAAACGGGGAGAAATGTACCTTTGGCGCACAGACCTTTAAATTACTGGGATTCCAGTTATCAACAGATGGTATTAGACCTGACCCAAATAAGTGCCAAGCTATTGTTGACATGCCCCGACCCCGGACTGTCAGGGCGGTATGCCGACTACTAGGTGCATGTAGATATTTTCGTAGACACATCGATCATTATGCGCAGATGACAGCAGCACTCACACAATTGACCAAATCAAATACTAGATTTAAATGGGAACTCGAACACCAGACAGCGTTTGACCAATTACGAGAAAAGTTGACTCAGAACCCGGTATTAAAGTTACCTAATTTTGATGCACCATTCGAGGTCCACGCGGATGCCAGCGATGTAGCTAGAGGAGTGTCTTATGCAGAGAGATTCTGATAGTAACCCTCATGCCGTAGCATACTTTAGCCGTAAATTAAGAGGTGCTTAATTATGCTATAGTATCACGGATAAGGAAGCTTTAGCAGATGTTGATAGTGTCCGATATTTTGAACCGTATGTATTTCAACGCCACTTTAAGATTTTTACAAACCATCGTGCACTAACAACTATCTTTAAAAAGAAGACACATTGTCCCCGCATGTCATGCTGGGGTAGTGCGTTAGCCACCCATTCATATCAGATCATCACGTACACCGGACTCTTCCTGACGTGTTGTTGTTCTGACCCGTGCTGTGTATGGGTATCCGGTGTCTCAGAGGGTTTTGTGTTTGTGCTACTGAGTGGTCACCTCACAGCTGAGTTTACTTTGTTTATATGGATTAGGATTATAATTATAATGTATATTGTGATTGGTAACACTTATTGCATGTGCTAATTGTACGAAAAGAGGTTCCTGTCCTTTTTGTCCCTGGTGTTGTTTCTGAGTTGTAGTTGATGTACAGTTATATCTCCGTTAGCTGGAACAATTGGTGCAGAGCACTTCCTGGGAAGAGAGATTTCCGGCTAAGCAGACGGCTTTCTCAAGCCCAGAAAAATCCCCCATTATGAGGCCACATTCTCATAATGTTTCTATGAGCTGGGGAGTTTTCCAAGAGTCTAAACTAAAAATCTATATGATATGGTAGTGAATGAAGCTGTGTGTTAGAGTAAAGACTGGTATTTTCCACTCTTGGAGCTGTGGGGGATTAGTGGATCCCATGTAACTGACCTGACCTGATACAATGTCAGGTCACCCACTATTGGGTGAGGGATTAGTAGGTCTCAGGACCTGAAGATGTCTTAAATAAACATGAAAGCTAAAATACAGAATTTTTTATACTTACACTTATCACATTGTATCCCTTCAACATTATGTTACATAAGATTTTAAAATGTGGAGTGAGAAAGCTGAAAGCTGTGGGTGATTAGAGAGTTGGAGTGGAAAGGAGTGGTAACATGCACCAGTGTTGCCAAGCGCTAAGCTTCTCAACAGCTGAGCCTTTATTTCACCACTACGTAGTGAACCAAGCATAAAATTGCCATACAATATGGGGATGTTTGGGTGTCTGGGTGTGATGTTGTGGTATTAATTAATAAATAAGCAATATTGCATCATCAATGACAGTCATTTGAATAATAGCAGTGTACTACAATTGTCACTACTATTCAACAAACTACTGTACTATCATTCAACAATACTGTACAATATTGTTTATTATTCATTAATTAATGCCCCAACACCACATCATTAATACAATCTTTTGTGTGATACACTGTGAGTTGGAGGGAGGCTGGGAGCAGGCAGGGGGTAGGCAAGGTGCTGGCAGGGAGGAGGTGATATACACACCTCCAACATTTATTATTATATATTCTCGTATGATCAGCCTCTTATGGTGTATGTTTCCTCAGGGTTAATAAAAATATTAAACACAATAGAAAAAATACGATGTACAGTATTACCCCGCCTAACGCAGTTTCACTTAACGCGTTTTATCATATACGCGGTGCCTCGCCAGAGCTGAATTTTCACTTAACACGGATTTTTTCCACATATACGCGGTGAGTGTCCGGCTCGAGACGCTATTTTTAGATTTGCCCCACCCGCCACCCTGCCTGACTGCCTGTTTTAGCTCATAAAATTTATACAAATTACCCGGCCAGAATATAATTTACATTGCTGGAATTCTTATAATTTGGTGATCATTTTGAATATAAACATCATATATTTTGCATTAGACATACAAATTTTAGATAACATTTTTTCTCTGGGTAACTATGTTATCTTTTGTGCAAAATATATGACATTTATATTCAAAATATTCCTGGTCTTACAAGGAATCCAGCAATGTCAATTATATTATCCTAACTTTAGTTTAAGGTATTATTTATTACAAAAAAGTTAAGTATTCTGGTTTTCCCACACATCTCCTTGGGACGGTTGGTGGGGGGTGGGGGGTTGGGGGGGACCGACCGACCATCTGTTACCCTGTGAAGAATATATTTTTTTTTTTATTAACTGAAGATATTTGTTTTAGCTCATAAAATTCATACAAATTACCCGGTCAGAATATAATTTACATTACTGGAATTCTTATAATTTGATGATCATTTTGAATATAAACATCATATATTTTGCATTAGACATAAAATTTTTAGATAAAATGTTTAATCTAAGTATGTTATCTTTTGTGCAAAATATATGACGTTTATATTCAAAATATTCCTGGTCTTACAAGGAATCCAGCAATGTCAATTATATTATCCTAACTTTAATCTGAGGTATTATTTAATATAAAATGTTAAAATTTATTTTTTTCACCCACTCTTCTCTTGAAGGGACGATTGGTGGGGGGTGGGGGGGAGGGTTGGGACTGACCGCGGGTTGGAAGAGGGGGGGAGGCAAGGTGGGGTAGGCCTACTTTGATTGACAGATAGTGTTATGAAGATTATTTTTTTTTTTATTAACTGAAGATATTTGTTTTAGCTCATAAAATTCATACAAATTACCCGGCCAGAATATAATTTATATTGCTGGAATTCTTATAATTTGGTGATCATTTTGAATATAAACATCATATATTTTGCATTAGACATACAAATTTTAGACAAAAATTTTTTCTGAGTAACTGTGTTATCTTTTGTGCAAAATATATGAC